CCCGCCAGCGCCCAGCCTCGCTCTTCCACGTCCTGGTGCTGGCCCTGGTGGTCACCGACCTGCTGGGCACCTGCTCCGTCAGCCCCTTCGTCCTGGCGTCCTACCACCACAACAGCACGCTCAACGCCTTGGCCCGAGGAGGGCAAATCTGCGCCTACTTCGGCTTTGCCATGAGTTTCTTCGGCCTCGCCACCATGCTCATCCTCTTCACCACGGCGCTGGAGCGCTGCCTGGCCCTGGGGCAGCCTTACTTCTACGAGCGCTTCTTCAGCCCCCGCACGGGCTTGGTTGCTCTACCTGCCATCTACACCTTCTCTGCCACCTTCTGCTCCTTACCTCTGATGGGCTTCGGGCGCTACGTCCAGTATGACCCCGGGACGTGGTGCTTCATCCAGATGCGCTTGGGTCCCCAATGGTGCAACGGCAGCACGGAGGCCGCGGGGATGAACATCACCTTCTCGCTGCTCTATGCCACGCTGCTCCTCTTCCTCATCCTGGCTGTGCTGCTCTGCAACCTCAGTGTGATCGTGAACCTGGCCCGCATGCACCGCCGCGGGCAGAGGACACGACGCCTGGCCATGCTGGAGCAGCCCCGGGTGGCCACTGGCTGTGGCCGACGCATGATCTCCATGGCTGAGGAGATTGATCATCTCCTGCTCCTCTCCATCATGACCATCACCTTCGTCATCTGCTCCCTGCCCTTCACGGTGAGTGTGACTTCCTATCCCCACAGGTGACATCTCTCTCCCCAGCACCCACATTTCTCTCCTTCTCTTTATAAGGTTCCCCCAAATTCCACTGCCCAAACCTCAAGGGTGGAGGACAAAGGTTTTCACAAAGCTTGGGAGACCCTAACTCAGCCACAAACTCTTGGCAATTTGTACATCCCTTGGGGAGATGGGGGAATCATTCCCTGTATCCCCAGTGCCAGGAAGATGAGGTGGCAGGATCACAGGGTGGCAGGAGGACAGGGTGCCAGGAGGACAGGGTGCCAGGATCACAGGGTGCCAGGATCTCAGGGTGCCAGGAGGACAAAGTGGCAAGAGAACAGTGTGGCAGGATCACAGTGTGGCAGAATCACAGGGTGTCAGGAGCAGAGGTGCCCTCCCACCCCATAGAGGCTCTGAGGCCAAGAAGTGTGGCTCAGGCAGGGACTGGGGTGGGGGATTCCCTGGACCACATGGCTTCACTGCAGTCTCTGGGAGCCAGAGTAGAGGTGTGAGGGGTGGCAGAGCAATCAGTTAAACATCCAAAGATGGGGATGAAGGAGATGCCCTGAGCTGAAGGCTGTGAGTATCTGTGCTGGGCAGGCAGAGTTATCCCAGATTTCTATGGATGGAGCTGGAGATGTAGGAGGCAGCACCCACCTCACTGTTAGACAGAGGTCTCTGCTCCTCTGCAACAACGATGGATGATTTCTGGGATCAGAGATCCAGCACGTGTGCCACAGCTTGCCTCATCCCAAGGGCTGTGCCCACATCCCGTGCCCCAGCCATGTGTGAGGCTTCCAGCAGAAATCCAGGGATGAAACACCAAGGGAGGAAGGGGAGAGAGTGAGTCCCCTGACTCTGCCCTGGGCTCTCTCCACCACTTTTCAGCCATCCAAATCGTATTACTCTGACAGCAGTGTGGGCTCCAGAGCCTCTGGAGCCCCTGCCCGTGTGTGTGAGGCCCCAGTGCAGCAGATCATTTTACTCCCATTAGAAGTGACCCCACCAAGGTTGGGAGCACAGGCAGAGCTAATTTTGTGCTCAGGGTGTTTAAATAGACTCTCCCTTCTCTTCATGCTCCCTTTGTATTCCTAAGGGAAAAGAAAAGAACCACAGGCTATAAGCCGAGCCAGGCTCCGGGAGTTTGGGACAAAGCAGTGACGTCTGGGTGTTTGTGAGCATCTTGGGAGTCAGACTCAGCACCCTGACAGACACTTCAGCTCCTGACAATGGTCTTACACATCCTGGGCTGTTCTTCTTGTGTCCCAAAAAAGCCTGGGTTTGGGTGCTGTGATCATTATGAAGTAGGGGACAGATGGATAGGACCCTGTGAGCCTGCTTGGGGCAGACAGGATGGGAAAGTGCCGCTGGCAGGGATCCCATGGGCCTGTGGTAGCAGATATAACCTTATCCAGAGGCAGCTTTCCTTTTCCCATCGCTGAGCTCCCATGTGGGGTTGTGTCCAGGCTGTGCTTTGGCAGCAGCTCAAACCAAATGCCGCTGGTGCCTCCTTGGGGTGACACTTTCTCCTCTGGCTGGGACTGCCCACAGAGCCACTCTCCTCCCAGGAGCAGCACAGGCACATAGAACCCATCAGCCCATAGCACCACAAAATCCTTCCCCCAAAACCCCAGAGCCTGGGGCAGCCCTGGGAAACGCTGTGCTATCAGCAGTGTGGCCACCTCGTGTCCTGGGATGCCCCATCCCAGGATGGTACCCAATGGATCCCAGCTGAGGGAGGGATGCTCGTGCTTCCCATCCCTCTCCAAGCACCCTGAAATGAGGGGGTGGTGAAGTGACCCGAATGAGTAAGGAGTGCTGAGTCATCCTTCCAGGAAGCCCCGTAGACTGTGATGAGTGTGCATGTTGCAGGAAGGATTGGGGCGATCCAGAGTTCCTCATCCTCTCCGGCTGCACTTCTATTTATCCCGTGTGGTTTGCAAGGTGAGAGCCACCACTTCCTCCAACAGCCACTGGGTTCACTGTGTTTGGGCTAAATGAAGATTCATTGGGAGCGGGGAGCAGAGTTCCATTAGTTCATTTAAACCCATGGAGGGACCAAATGTGCTGAGACAGCGCAAATGTCCCCAAAAAGCTGCCCGGAGGATGGATCCTGGGAGCCCAGACCTGGCTTTATTTCTCCCTGGTTGAGGGCAGAGATTCTGACCCTCTGCTATGCTCTGGTTAGACCTCACCTGAAATGCTGTGTCCAGCTCTGGGGTCCCCAGCAGAGGAAAGACATTGAGCTGTTGGAGAGAGTCCAGAGGAGACACCAAGGTGGTCAGAGGCATGGAGCTGCTCTGCTGTAAGGAAAGGCTGAGGGAATTGGGATTATTCAGCCTGGAGAGGAGAGGGCTTCAGGGTGACCTAATTGTGGCCTTCAGTGCCTGAGGGGAGATTACAAGAAAGATGGGGAGAGACTATAGGGCCTGGAGGGACAGGACAAAGGGGAATGGCTTCCCACTGCCAGAGGGCAGGGATAGATGGGATATTGGGAAGACGTTCTTGGCTGTGAGAGTGGTGAGGCACTGACACAGGTTTCCCAGAGAATCTGTGGCTGCTCCATCCCTGGGAGTGTTCCAGGCCAGGTTGGATGGGGTTTGGAGCAACCAGGTCTAGTGGAAGGTGTCCATGGCAGGGGACTGGAACAAGATGATCTTTAAGGTCCAACTCATTCTATGATCCATGATTTTGCAGATCCATGCCTACGTGAACAAGTACAGTGAGGAAGAGTACAGCAAGTGGGACCTCCTCGTCCTGAGGTTTCTCTCCATTAATTCCATCGTTGACCCTTGGGTCTTCACCATCCTGAGGCCTCCAGTCCTGCGGCTCATGCGCTTGGTGCTGTGCTGCCAGTTGACCTCCAGGAACACGGACACCAGGACTTCATCCCCTGCAAAGACAAAACTGGCAGCACAGCTGGACCCCTGTGGGCAGTAGATCCATTCCAGGGACTCCAGATCTTCGGGAGACACCTGCCAGGTGAAGCACAGCCGTGACAGGTGTTGAGGAAGCTCTGCCTTACAGCCCAGAAAGAGACATATCTGCTGCAGGGTGGGCCAGGTGTGGGTGACCCACATATGTCACCTGGGAAGCACCTGGAAAGCCAGTGTGGTCTCCACAGGGCAAAAAAGTACAGGGGGACAAGCTCAGAAGGGCTGAGAGTACCTGGGTATCACTGTCACCCTTGGACAGAACAGCTCCCACCCGGAGAAGGGTGCAGGCTGTGTTCAGCCATGCTGCAGGAGGGGCAGGGGGTGAAGCATGGGGGGGTTTGATGTAACACTACAGTTGAGAGGGTGTTGGGGAACAGAGGTTCCTGCTGGATTGCTTCCTAGCAAGGTCTCTGTGGTAGTTTTGGGGTGCACATCTCCTGGAGATGGGGCTGGGTGACTATCGTGGCTGCAAGCACCCATCTCTGTCCCTAGGGATTGGGTAGTAGGAGGAAGGGAGCAGTGCATCCCCAAATATTTCCCTTTTTCAGTAGGCTGGTTGCCTAAGAAATGCACTTTTTCAGGTGTAGGTCTGTGTGCCTGTGTTTGTCCATCCCACCCCACCAGGATTTGAGGTGCTGGTGGGTGCCTGAGGGGCACTAGGGCAGAGAAGAAGCCAAACTGTGGCACTTCCCTCGTGCTGAGATGGAGCAGAGCTCTGTGGCTCCTCCTCAGCATCCAGTTACCCTTTGCCCTGTGGTTGGTGCAAGAGCCAACAAGGGGAATAAAAAGCCTGATCAGGGAACAAGAGGTTTGGAACAGAGCCATGAGCTTCACCTACATCCAGGGTGATGCTGCTGATGGGTTTTGGGTTTGTCCTTGAGTGGGACAAACCTGCTCAGGGGCATCACTTCTCTGGAGGTTTCATTTGAAATACATCCCCTCCAAAATCAATAAACCCAATAAACTAAGTGCAAAACCATCCAGATGATCAATCCTGCCCCATTGGGCAGTGTCCATGAGTGCTGCTATTTGGTTTTGTGGGGTGCCTGTTGCTCTTTGGGACTCCAGGCTGGTTCCCAGTGGGATGAGGAGCATCCAACCCACATCCCAAGGCTGTTGCTGCTGGAGGTCTTGTGGCTCCTATTTATGCAGCATCCAACACACAGTGTCATTGTGCTAGTGCAAGGAAGGTGCCTTCTTGTTTTGAGAGCTGCAGCTCTGCTCAGAAAGCCCAAAGGTGCCAAGATCATCCAGGTCATCAATCCTGCCTGTTGGGCAGTGTCCATCAGCACCACTATTGTGTCTTGTGGGATGTCTCTTGCTCTTTGGGACTCCAGATTGTTTCCCACTGGGATGAAGAGCATCTAACCCACATCCCAAGGCTGTTGCTGCTGTTAGGGGTTGCTGGAGATCTCATGGCTCCTATTTTTGCAGCATCCAACACACAGTGTCATTGTGCTATTGCATCTCCTTGTTTTGAGAGCTGCAGCTCTGCTCAGAAAGCCCAAAGGTGCCAAGGTTTCATGCAGTTCCTAAGTTGAGATGATGTAAAGAAATAGTTCTTATTTAAATAATAAATGTCTTTCAAAGGACTCTGCTGAATCATGTGTGGGTTTATGCTTATGATGCACTGCAGGGTAGATGTGGCTCCTAGAGGAAATGTGTCTCCTGCCTGGAGCATCTGTGGGATGAAGCCATGGGAATGGGGGGAGAGGGCAGGAGAGGAGGTTGGGAGGGGAAATGGGTGCCTCTAATTTCGAAAAAAATGAGAATAAAATGTGTTTTAGACATGTGTGATGACATTTTTACCTCACCACTACTTCTAAGCTACAGAAATCCACCACCACTGAGCTCTACCCTAAAACATTTGTATCCCACAGCCAGGGAAAAGCAGGCAAAGTCCCTACCTGTTATCAAAACACAAACCCCAAAAATACCTACCCTAAAAAAGGGCAGAACTGAAGTCACTGCTGTCAGGCAGCCAATATCCACAGGAAGTTTACTTGCCTCCAAGATGTGTGTGGGCAGATGTCAGCCATGGGCTGCTATTGCTCAAGCCCCAGCGGGTTTTTGGCAGCTCCCTGTGGCTGGGAGGGAGGCTTGGGGGTGGAATTTGGGGGGGGAGGGCTGCAAGGTGTGCATCTACATGGGGGTGAAGCTGGGGTGCTCCCACACCAGCACAATGTAATCATTAACCCCATGGCCAAGCCTTGAGTGTCCAGGTTTGGTTGAGTCCCACCTGCTGCTTGTGGGTCATAGTTGTTCCTTCCCAAATGATTCCCTCATCCATGCACACAGCAGGAGCAAAGGCACTTTCTGGGTTGAGGATTTGGTGCTGCCTGTCATGTCTCAGTGGATGTTTGGCTTGAGAAGGAGCCAAAAGCTTTGGGAAGAGCCGCGGGGCTGTGTGCTTTATTTATCTGGATGGTCATGACCTGGTTGCTCACGCTGGAATTTCAGGAGCAGTTGCCTAATGCTCTTCTAAGCCAGAGGGAAAGGCTGCCTGGGATGCAAAAGATGGAAAAAAACCCTTTAAAAATGGGGAAAATGTTGTAAATGGCAAAGTGGTCACATCCTGCAGGGCCCAAGGGGTGTGACAGCGGTGGGAAGAGGAGTCAGCGGGATCCATGGCAGCACAGAGGATAACCCCAAGGCAGGATTCTCCCAGTGACTCTCACCCCAAGGATTCACTCCTGCCAGCCCCCAGCTCTGCTGCTGACCACTAATTACCAGCTGCTTGTTTCTTTGGGAGGTTTATGGCTCCTGATCAGGAAACCCAGGGCTGGGAAACAACCTCCTGGCATCCATCCCACTGGGATCTACTTTTTGCTACAGCAGAGTCACTCTCCCCTGACAAGGGACAGTAATCCTGACAAGTAGGGTCAGGGGAAAGATCTGGATCAAATTTAATGCCAAAATAAAAGAGAAATTGGTGCATGCAAGGAGAGGAATCCCCAAAATCCAAGCCATAGTGTCATAGTATGTTAAGGAGTTGGATGGACCTTAGAGATCATCTAGTCCCAACCCCCTGCCCTGGGCAGGGACACCTCCCACCAGAGCAGGTTGCTCAAGGCTTTAACCAACCTGGCTTTGAACACTGCCAGGGCTGGGGCAGCCACAGCCTCCCTGGACAACCTGTGCCAGTGTCTCACCACCCTCACATGGGAAATTTCTTCCTGAGATCTAATCTAAATTTCCCAATTTCAATTTCTCCCCATTACTCCTTGTCCTGTCCTTGCAGCTCCTACCCAAGGGTCCATCTGCAGCTTCCCTGGAGCCCCTTCAGATCCTGGCAGGTTGTCCCTTCCAGGTAAGGCAAAGTCCCCTTGCCAGGATGCATCCTGAGCTGCTACTCATGGGCTACCCCAACCACTGCTGCTCACAAAGCCATCAGCCTTGGTCCTCCTGATTTCAGAGGAGAAAGGGGCCTTAGTTAGAGCTCTATGAGGACATGGAGGGCCATGAGTCTCTCTGTACCCTGAGCCATGAGCCTGCATGAACAGGTTTTATTAACGTCACTCAGGAGCCATTCTGAAAGGCAAATTAATTTGGCTCTCGTCAGCTCCATCGATGTCTGCACAATGACAAAGTGTCATTTCGGTGTCTGTGCCAGCCATTAATGACCTTTTTATTCCCACACAGGAAACCTGTTGGAGTAAGAACGCTGCGGGCGAGTCTTTATGTCTGCCTTTCCATCTGGAAATGGAGCTGTGGAGCAAGGGACAAGTCACTCCTTGGGGACATGGGAAGGCGTCAGCTGCCTCCCAGACTTCTTAATATGGAGAAGGACTTCCTGCAGTGGCTGGAGGGAGTGGGGAGCTGTGGGACCAGGGCATTGGGATCCTCTCCAGAAACTCACAGAATCATCAAATGGTTTGGATTGAGAGGGACCTTAAAGATCATCTAGTTCCACCCCCTGCCATGGGCAGGGACACCTTCCACCAGCCCAGGTTGCTCCAAGCCCCATCCAACCTGGCCTGGAACACTCCCAGGGATGGAGCAGCCACAGCTTCTCTGGGCAACCTGTGCCAGTGCCTCAGCACCCTCACAGCCAGGAATTCCTTCTCAATATTCCATCTAACCCTGCCCTCTGGCAGTGGGAAGCCATTCCCCCTTCTCCTGCTCCTCCAGGCCTTGTTCCAAGTGCCTCTACAGCTCTCTTAGAGCCCCTTTGGGCAATGGAAGGGCTCTAAGGTCATAGAATCCCAGACTGGTTTGGGTTGGAAGAGACCGTAAACCCTATCCCATCCCACCCCCTGCCATGGGCAGGGACATCTTCCACTAGCCCATGTTGCTCCAAGCCCTGTCCAATCTGGTCTTGAACACTTGAAATGATGGTAATTCAACAAAACTTTTTGGGCAATGGGCACTTTTAGCAAGTGGAGAAGAAAGGAAGGTCTCTTCCCTCTTGCTCCCTCTTTTCTGGCTAGTTTGGAACATCTCCATTTCTGTGCTGTCATCGGGGAGTAAACCCTTATTTTTTGGCTGTTTTGGCTTCCTGGGTGATCCCAAGTGCTTCAGCCTCATCTCTGCCAGGAGCAACCAAAGCCTTTCAACCTCCTTCATGTTGGCAGCAAACATGGGCAACATTTGGGGACAGCCTGTGAAGGTGGTGATGTGCTGTGGGGTGTGAGGTGCTGTTTCCAAGCCCAGCATCCCTGTGGAGCACCTCTGTGGACTGTGGGTTCTTTGGGAAGCTGGAGTGGAGGCAGAGCTGCCATGCCATGTCAGGCTGCCCTTCCGGGCAGAGGATGGCCATGGAGCCCATCTCCCAGGGCTCCAGGAGGGTGTGTGGTGTGATGGATGTTACACTGAATTAAATGAATTAGGCAAAGAAGTGACTTGAGGGGACATGGCATGGCTGAGCTCCCAAACCAGCTCTGCAGCCATGCCAGGACATTCAGTGGCTCTGCATGTCGGAGCTGATGGCAATTCCCTGTGGCTTGAGCACAGGGAAAAGACATGTTTGGCTTTACCATAGCTGCCTTCTGCTTTTGCAGCTGG